TACAACGGCAAGGTAATGTACCAAGGAATGACAGTCCCATGGTAAGGATCCTTATGCAGAAATATTTCCAACTATTACTGATGCCTTCTGAAAACTCGGTTGTTAAGGCTTCTTCAAGAATGCTTCAACAGGCCCGTTCGACCTGAGGCTAAACGTGAAGCCGGTTTAATAGGCTAGTCCGAAAAGCAATTAAAGTAAAAATAGAAGGTGCGATTCGAATCAAGGCAAGCATTACAGGGAAACCGATACTCGGTAACTGAGCTTCGACACCGATAACTGATAACTGCGTGATCAACAGGCACTCGTGTTTGAAAGGAGACACACCAGATGGTATGAGGTCAAGAATTGCGTCTAAAACCAGTACTGTTGAAAGCTGGCTGAGGATCATCAAAAAACCTCCTGCACTGGCGCTCATACTAAAACCAAGCTAAACACACCACCAAATCCAGTATCCGAAAAACTGCCATTAGTATTCACATATAACGCGATGACTATCAGGGCAATTTACAGTTGATGGCGGTTTCCGTTGCGGTTTCCATTGCGAAGCCTTAGTGCTAGGAGCCCGAGCTATTTTGCCTGCTTCGAAAATTCTTGTGTTAAAATGGGTAGCACTTAAGACCTGCAACTATGCAGGGAAAGGGCACAAAAGGTGAACGACTTAATTTACCTAATTTTCGTTGATTTATAAATGCAGTTGGATAGGGCGCGAGCAAAAGCTTATAAGTAACCACGGTTGCGTTGCACTCATCCTGATTGTAGTGGCACTTCTACTAAAGATGGCGAGATGATGTGTCGAAAGTGTGCGGCTGCCATTGTGAAAACCTTCAAAATTCGTAACCGTTATCGAGTACGAAACGATGACGCTTTAACATCAAATGCTGTGTTTACATCTCATAACGTAATTACAGAGAAGCAGTAAGCTTGCGTCGGTGGTGTTTGAAGTATGAGTTGGTGTTGTTTTCAACCGATCTACCTAAAAATTAGAATATGGGACAACTTCGGACCTTTGAGGACTGATATCCCAGAGCAGGAAACTCGAGTGGGTTGGCATCAGAGGATTTACATCATTGAATAACCAGCAAAAAGGGTTTTCCTTTTCGCAATAGATACTCTCGTATAGAAATTCATTTAGAGAAATAAATAATTTGGTCACCTGTTCCGTTGTTCAACGACTGTCGTTGTGTTTAGTTCAATGACGCACAGGAGATATACGACAGACCTGCTATGGATATGGAGGTGATAACGAACACGTGTTGTTGTTGGTATTCACATGACGGTAATTTCAGGTGAACTTCTTTGTAACTGTCAGGGGGTGTTGAAAGACAGCTGCCAACCGATCGTGACAACGTTCCTGCTGCTACTCAAACCGCCCGAACGAGCGTTTGGGGATAGACTTCTACTCCCCCACAGCGAAACTTCCTAACATAATTTATTGAAAAAAAATGTGTGGAGCAGACTTCTCCGGGTCTTAGAATTTCTGAATAACTAGTCTGTTGGTTACTTGGTTTATGAACACACGTGTTTCTTCATTGACAAAAACTGAAAGCAAACTGGGTTACGAAGATTCGGGCCCAACGACCGGTTCGCACAATGGATCAAGTAATTACTGCAGAGATCTTTCATGTCTCACATTTAAATGCTTCATCGCGCACCGCTAGAGCGAGCAATGGGAATGTGAGTCACCACTGCGGCGCCAATGATCTGCCTGAGAAGACAATCCCTTCGCTTTGCTGATTATGTAAAATTTATAGGCACTCGAAGCAACCTGGAGAACCTACAAGACCTAGACAAAGCGTCAGATTTGGCCAGGACAGGGGAGCCCCTGACTGGGGCTACGAAATGCACAAAGGCCAATATAGGCAGCCAGTCCGCGGGACAGCTCCTATGCCGGACCATCAGCGTATTGTAACCACAACTACGACTAGAGATCTAGGGATCGTTATACTTCTGAAGCAAATCCCGCCACCGAAAGATGCAAGTGAAGCATTGTCTAGGCTAAAGAGACAGCGTTCGAACACAGCTAAGTAGTCTTCATTCCGCTCTACGTTACGCATGTACGACCTCAGTTGGAGTACTGCGTGCGGACACACCTCAGGAAAGACTCTTTAAGATGTCTAGAGATGCAAGGGAGAATACCACGAGTCTATATTATGAGGAGACACCACAGCCCGTGAAGCTGCACTCTCCACAGAGAAGGTGGTTTAGGGGGAGCTACCCCCTCTCCATGCCATCCACTGTCGGAGGTCTACGGTGGCTAACGCTCGATACAGGTCAGTGGTTAAGAAGCAAATTTACTGGCCTTAGAGTCTGCGGTTCGAACCTGACTGCGGCATCCCAACTATCCATGTATAGGTATGGGCAATCTGTAAGTATCATTAACTTCGTGCGGTCTTCGGATGGCAGCTGGGCATAGAACGGTGTTACGGCAGAACGGTTGCTTATTACTTTTTGAGAGCTGCTTGGGGGCTAACGGAACAATATTGAGAGAGGGAAAGGGCGACGGCAAAAGCAAAAAACAAAGCGTAATCCGTGAGTTACCTCAAGAATATGCAGAGAATGACAAGACAAGTGACTTACGCCAACTCCCAGTGTTGACGGCTCACCCTCCAGGAGGGTCGTAAGACCACAATGTAAAGGTGATTTTTTTGCGCTGGTGTTAAATATTTGACCTTGCTTGGTGATTCTCAGGGAGAGGTTAGCTTCCCGAAGTCTGTCAGTTTCGCTAAGACTTTCGGTCACGATGGCTGAATCCATAGTGGCATTTGTGGCCAGATCAAGACTTCCGAATGGCGTTTGGCTCATAGTGACGCCAACCGGAGGCAAGTTTACCTTGAGAATGAACTGCTTCCCCTCCCCTTGTGTATGCAGCCCATCAGTGGACTTCTCTCCACGGGAAGAAATTTGTTTCGCGGTGTTATTCGATGGTTCACGGAAACGCGAATGAAAATCCGGATTCCCTGACCGCGATTTGTCGGAAACAAGAGGCGTGTCAGGAACTTCATCAGCAAATTTGCCTGAAGATGTTGTTGAGGAGCACGATGGAGTAAGGGGCGGTATTGCTTTTTCAGGCACATGGCGGGCCTCCTGATACAGTGGCACTTCGCACAGTTGGGTGCTCGCGAAAGGAGGGTCTATTCCAGTGCGGGTGACGCGGGAGTCACTATCAACAGTGACGGCTCTCATCCGATCTGCATAAACATCGCCTGTGAATGGACGGAAGGCCGAAGTGCTCGCGTACGGTACGTCAAGACCGTCCCGGTTACATTCAGTGGTAGGTGCGGGTGGATCAGAATGGTGAGAAAAGACCGTTGTGCTGAAAGCGTCTTTTTCACACTTACCACTCACCGTGTTCGTTTTTTCACTCGTTTGGCCTTTTGTGCTGAGTGACGCAACCCCAGAGAGATTACTCAAAACCGCATCAACTTCGCGCACAGTGATTGTTGGAAGCTCAATGTTCGGATCGAGTAGACTGTTGAAAAGCGAAACCGGGTGGCATCCATCACCACTAGCACTACCTCCTAAGCTTTCTAATTTACGGCAGTAATCCTGAGGTGAATGCACATGGGCAGGACCACCGGCGACCGTGGAAAAAAGAATGTCTCCTGGGCGTCGGGGATTTGGCACCACTCTCTCAGGTCGGGCAGACTGAGATTTCTTGAAATTCATTGCGAACGGATGATCAGCACAACGACAGGCAGCTCTTGTCTGAATGGCGTCTACATAGCACACGAGTCAGCACAAACCCCATGCGCGACAGCCTTAGAAAACAGACGACCCGCTCTGAAGGTCAGTTCAGAACGATTCGACGGTTCGATGGGTTCTTAGAGCACTCATTCAGTCCAAACTAGCGCAGGATTTAAAAAGTTTTTTACGGTCCGATGCTTCTGCACACACTAAATTCCGCCCTAAAATAGTCTGTGTCACTCTGGCATGCACCCTCGATTTCATCATCTTCACTCTGCATCTGGTTCGAACCTGACCTCTGCCTATCGACTTCCCCTGTTGAGGCTAGGGCAACATGACAGTATACAAGCACTCGTGCTTCCTTCGGGTGGTATGGCAGATAAGCACCGAAAGGGGGTAGTTAGAGATGGATGATTGTCCTTGTTTATTTTGTTATCCAACCACCTGAAAGAAACATGAGGGTGGAGATATAGTCAGGTTGCCCAAACCTCAACAGGAGCACTCGAGTCGCAGAGGTTGGGTTCAAATCGCTGACCCTCAGGTTGATAAGTTCTCGCTTGCCACTCAACTTTGAGGCAGTCAGAAGTTGTGCTGGACAAAGAGATCTCAGCAACCATCAAGGACTCATAGTCAACAAGCTCGGACGCTCCATAGCAAGGGTGCTCGTGTGTGTAAAATGTGACAAAAAAGAACACCTGTTCCTGATGGGAAATGCGCCGATATCCCGTTTTGGCGCATTTCGCAAACGCCTCTTTAGTGCGTATTAAGGTTAGCGGTCGGGCATTACGCGATGTGGATACGAAAAAAGACCTGGCTGTTCGGCTGACTTCCACTGTGTCTTATTCTGCTAATCACGACGAAAATGTACATAGGCTGCGCATGCTATGAGGACGATCGAGCTTATTTTCCCTTGGTAGTCGCCCAAAGCTCCAGGGCGATGCATTTCGCACACATTATACCGTCTTTAGGGTACCTTTACCTAGTATGTCGTGTTGAGTTTTGAAAACCGCACGCCTCGTGTGTTTAAACTCCTCGTGTGGCCATGAACGCTCCCTCGAAAGGCTTACTGCTTCTTTATGCCCCGTCAAATTACCTAATTTATCTCCCAGACCCCACACAATAGCTGGCTCGGACGACCGTTCCATCGTGATTGCCAGTCGTCCCCTTTAGTACTGAACCTGGTTGCCGCTCCGTACTTTTTCGGAAATAAGCATTATTTCCTCACATTTTTGCAGCATAACTCTCACCCTGGTGCGTTACCATAATTCGTTGGTTGCTAGTCTTCTTACGCTGATTTCCCCTTTATGATCATAAACCTTGGAAGTACGCGTTTATTCGAAGCACAATGCACAGACAGAATCCACAGAAATGCAGCTCTTTGTTGAAAGTGTCCAATTTAAGGCAACTGTGGCCGTCGCCGATCGCCCGTCCATGAACCACGTGCCTGGAAATACGCGACCCCAATCCCACGCGGAGACTTTGCACTAACAAACTGTATATTCAAGAGCAGTTAGCGCGCATCGATATCATTCTTCGTTTTTATTGGCAACGGGCTCGAATTCGGGGGAAATTCACTCAGGGTTAATGCACAAGTCGGTACGGTATCACCTTTTCCCGTTCATATTTCAGGCACATGAAGCAACCCACCCCGCGGTGACGTTGGCGCCGATTCCATTTCTATGATTTGACTCTTTTGTATGTCCATTTGAGCGACGGTCCTGGCTAACAGTGCTTATGATTTAGGCAGGCAAATTAAGAAGCTGTATCTCACTCCACTTCCTGTATTCGAATGTAAAGTGAAAATGGTAGACCAGACGAATGCATACCTGTTATCCTGTCAACACCGAATCTTTGCGCCATAGCCACGCACCTTCTGTGTTGACCATGAAATTGATGCGTCCCAATAAGTAAAAATCGTAAGCGAAGGAGATTTGGTTGAAAACGGGAGCGCTGAATGACAATCAGAAGCCAGTTTCAACCAGATCGAGCCCGGAAGTATTTAGAACTGCGGCATGTCCGCCTCCTGTTCTACGACCCCTGGCGTGGTGAAATTCCCCTGAGCCCAAAAAACTGATTGCCGCAAGACTTCCTTGACATTTATTTATGTAATTCTCTTTAGTGTGCTCTTACACGTAAGGTGTGAGAAGATTTCCTGTGTTCAACACCGAAGACAACCTTCTCTATTTCCTTAAATTGCCCGTCGTATCTCTCCTAGTCAGCCGGTGTAGTGGCTGCTTCACCAGCACTCCAGATTGATCGCTATTTTGCGCACTTTTGTTAGTACATCCGTCCGTCGAGGGCTGAAGAGCCGGATAACTCGGAATCTCCCCTGAGTGGTCCATATTTTTTTAGCGTTTTCCTCCTTGCTCGCTTACCCGGACTGGGGAAGACTCTTACTGTCCGTAGATAGAGCGTGCCAGTGAAATCTCGTACCACAATCTACTGGCCACTCTTTACCTTGTTTCTACCACGAGAATTTTTCACCTCTGTATCACTAGCCGTAATCAGTCACCAAATACCTCGGATACAAAAAACCTTTAGTTAGCATTACTTTTTATCGATAACCGTGACTACTTGCGGCTATCCCGCTGGTGCCGTTTATGTACCACCTCATTTGGAGCCCCTTCCTACTCATAATTACTTGGCTTACTGTACTGTGGGCAGTGTACCGCAAGGATTCATTCATTTGCTTGCGTTCCAGAGACGGTCATCCTACCACTGATCCTGTCATCATACCTCTTTCGCGAATGAGTTTTGGACGCTCCCAGTTGCGAGCCTGCAGCTTCGGGTATAAAGGGAGGAGAGCGCGGGACAGGATTCCACGACCGATACACAGCACTTAAAAATTGCGACCATTGTGTGACCATTGGGTGAAAGGAGGGCAGTATTAAAAAACTAAGCCTGAGTGCCCTGGCAACCTGGAACTGCACCTTGTGGTAAAAGCTAAACGTACAGGAATAGTTGAGGCCAGGATTTTCGATCTCCGTGGAGTGAGTGATTGGATTTTTATTACTGTGAAAATATCAGTCAGGAGGGATCAGTGGCAGGAAGTTATGCTGCATTTCGTGGAGGAGAATCTTAGGCCAGAGTCGCTTGACCAGCGAGTCACTGAACCTAATTAATGATTATTGTGGTGAAAGGTGAGTGCTTATGTGGAGGGGGGAATGTGATCGCGGTTTTAATATCATCTGCGAGAAGGAAGACCTGACGATTGGATATGGCTTCGAAGACGTCAATGACGTACGGTCAAATGGCTTCCCTGGTGATCAATAGTGGAGATTATTGCATGTCTCCGTTTGCGATTTTTGCGTCCTTTCAGGTAGATAGGAGGAGAGCCACTAAAATAATGTTCCTGTGATGCCAATGGTACTAAGTTTATGAAGCAGGAAGTATGAGGGATCTGGTCAAAGGCTTTGGAATATCGAAGTAAAATGTTACAGTGGAGTATCAAGCGTCGTAGGCTGCAGTGATGGCCTCAAGAATTGAAACTAGCAGCCACCAAGGGATCTTTGAGACAAATCCATACTGCTGGTCATCCATGGTATTAGGAGCCAGGAGGAACTTAGTAAATAGACCTTTGATCAGATGTTCAAGGGCTCTCGTTAGGAAGGAGGTATAGTGAATTTTTCTGTGGTCGGTGGGAGTGTGTCTGGGGCCGGATTTGAAATGCGGGTGGATTATAGATTGTTCCACTGGGAGTGGACGGTTCCAAAGTACGCAGCGTGGGTAAAATAATCAGTACAAATATTCCAATATCTTGGCCGCCTTGTTTCAGAACACGACATGGAAGGCCGTCGGCCCCTGGAACATCGACGTCCTTAATCCTTAGAATCGAGAAACGTCATTTAGGGCGATGGGTACGTTACTGAGGGTCGGATGATTACCCTGACCGTTAAGAGTTTGTAAATATTCAGCAGCGAGTACGGGTTTTGAGTTGGGTGGAATGGGTAATTGGCAGCTGGCGAATTAAGCGTTTAGAATGTCTTACATTGGCGGGATCAGCGATGGGGTCACTATGTGTTAAACGCAGATAAGCAATTGAGTGGCTGATTGGGATACAAGGCCTACGGAACAGTCGGCTGAGTAATGTGTAAGGAGCACTGAGGACGGTATTCTCTTCTCGAGAAATACCCGCAATGATTCTCGGTCAGGGAAGAGTTCCTTGATAAAAGTTGACAATGATAAATCCTTAGATTTCCGATATTCTGTGCTAGCCCGGCGTATTTTGGCATCCAAGTTTTTTAAGGATTATCGTGGCCGGGGATGCTGGACTGAAGGCGTTTTGCGGGGGAAACAAGATGAAGGGCAAACAATAAGTTTTTGTAAAAGATGCCACAGACGTGGTGTGTGTTTGTCGGAAGGAAGAGGTTGTTCCTATTTCGGGAATCTAGCGCGGATGAAAAAGCTTTTGAACTATTCAGGGTGAGGAGATGAAACACGGATGGACTCAGAGGGCCAGTTTGGTCTTAAGTGATTGCGTTGCAAGGAACGACGCGGTGATCGACTCGTAGAAAGCGCGAACCAACTGCAGCTGTAGCCAAACGGCCATCGTTGGAGAATATTGGGTGCAGGGTATGTAAGTCACGATTAGGACTAGGTACAATCTGCGACAAGCCCTCCACACCAAGTTGGCCAGCAGCCCGGGGTAACATATGAAGCCCGTAGGAAATATCTGAAAGGTCAAACTACCTAGCGGAAATTTAGACGAATGACGAGGGGCATGTGCAGTGGAGATGATGCGGAAACGGTCAATAACAGAAGCGAGAAGGGGTTTGGTGGTAAATAGATACAAACCATTAGTACAGGTAGTTTGGTCCGCTCTGTAGATATCCAGATGGCCTCTGGAATGCCTTCCGGGAAAGATTGATCAAGAGGGGTTGCGCGAAGTTCTGATTTGGAGTAGATTGCACAGCCCCTTGAGTTTTTTCTATCAGAGCTGTTAATGTAACAATAATATTATTATTTATTCCAAACTAGTGGGTAGCATACCGCGGGCATGATCATAGTATTACAGTAAGAATAAAGGCATGACTGGTGGGGTTTGTGATTAATAGGAAAAGGGAAAGTGACGGTAAAAGTAAACA